AAAAACTAGGTTGCTAAAACTGAAGCTATTGACATACTTCTGAATTTCATCAAACTTTATTTCAAAAAGTCGTCAGAGGATGTACACATGATGGGGAAGGTCCAGAGGCTATTGAAAAAGAGATTCAAAGCTTAGAAAAGAATGCCTGACTGAAGGTTAGGGGAACTGATACTATTCAGCCAGGAGAAGGCCAAATAATATTTTAATATAGCTAATATTTAAAGACTTGCTTCTTTTGAAATTCAGAGTCAAGGAGAGGCTCAGGGAAAGAGATATTCTAGTCGCTAGTTATCCCCACAAATGGCCACAAGGGCAATGGCTGGGTTCCACCTCTTTAACTGCCCGACTCAGCAGAGGCACACAGAGCAGCAGCCTCTTTCAATACCTCGAGGGAACTCCATACCCTGGGTGCCATATCCAGCTGAACACCTTGTTCTGAGGGAAATGAAGAGTTCTTGACTTCCCAGAAATGCCACAGGATTTGCATCCAGCTGCATGTGGACCATGCAAAGTGAACCATGCCAGCCGAAGAGGGATAACACAGTTGGCATGAATAATGATAACACCTATGGAAAAATGAGAAAGCAGTCCCCTAAGTACTCTTCTTCCCGGGTCAATGGCGTCCTGGCACTGGAAGGCCATGCTCAGTGATTCACTCCCTTAGCTCAAGGTTTCACAATTATGAGGAAAAAATGGGTTTCATGAACACTAAATGTTATTATAATTTTATAGTTGCATATCTCATCGTGTTTTAAACAGATTTTTGGGGAAGTAGGAGGGAAAGAACACAACAGGAACTGGGAAAAATGACGACACGGAGACATGCATAGGCCAAGCTCATATCTGACAATTCTGTCTGGGGACAACAGATGAACTAGGAAGTGAGGACACCTAACGGTCACTCTTCCCTTCCTGCATCTGTCCTAGCCCCTTTCTACTTAAAAAAAAAATAAAGTTACTTATTTATTTGAAAGTTACAGAGAAAGAGACAAGGAGAGAAAGGAAAAAGGGAAGAGAAGGGGAATGGAGGGAGAGAGAGAGAGGGGAGAGAGATATCTTTCATCTGCTGGTTCATTGCCCCCAGTGGCTGTAACTGCCAGGGCTGTGCCAGGCTGAAGCCAGGGGTTCCTGTTGGGTTACAGGGAATCAAGTACCTGGGCCATCCTCTGCTGCTTTTCCCAGGCCATTAGCAGGAAGCTGGACAAGAGCTGGAGCAGCCAGGACATGAACCAGATTCCATATGGCATGCAAGAGTCACAGGCAGCAGCACTACCCTCTATACTACCACGCCGAGCTCCTAAACCCTTTCTAAATTAATGTCATGTCTGTTTCCTCAAAAATCTAAGGCAGAATCTTATTTGCTTTTTTTTTTTTTACTAATTAAGCAAAATTATATAAATGTGCTATCTAAAATAGTGATATAGCTTCAAATCATTATATATTCTAAGCATATACAAAGAAGATACTTAAGATTCCTGATCTCATAATTTTCTCCTTTGAGTAAAAAGTCCCAAAAAGACTATAGCACCAGGTTCAAGTCTGGGAATCCCATGGATAATGGGACACTTAGGTGGGGGGAGGAGAAAAAGAACAGTTTCACCAACACTGCTGAGAGCCAGTTTGGAAGATTTCCCTGGGACAGGCCTGCAGGTGCATGTCTTGTTTTCATTTGCTTTGCTTATTTGTTTTTTTTTAACAGATCAAATTTTTAAATATTTTTGTCTATAATACCTGGTTTCCCGGATAATGGTATAAAAGGTAACATGTGCACGTAATTTAACTTGATGAGAATGCTAAATCAGACAACTAGCTCGAAACCCCAATGGAAAGGGAGATGCGAAACAGAATGCTTATTACATAATTTAACATTCTAGAGATTCTAGAAGGTTAAAAATAAATCACCATCATAATCTTTTTAGGGAATAGAGATGCTAGCACATTAGCAAATGAAGCTTGGCCTGATGGGATGTCAGCTGAGCCTACATACCAAGTAATCTTTAAAAACTTCAAAGAAGACTTAGATCTTGAGGAAAAACAAAATGCAAATAGTTATGTGGCTCAGTAACTGTCCTCCGTCAACAGCTTCTTCACATTGTCAACTATTGCTCGACTACATCAGGACAGCCCTTAGGGGTTATTCTAACAGTACGTGATTCAACTTGGGGCAACAGCTAAGTTCCACCTTATAAAATAACATCTAACCTGCAGAAAAGCTCACAGAAAGTTGGTCCCTGGAATTTAAAACTTGCTGATAAAACTATTATCTGTTCCACTTAAAAAATGGGCTTTCAGTAATATTTTTAATTCAAAAATCATACCTATATCCATTATTATTATAAAATCACAACACTGATTTCTATAGTTGTTAAAGCTAAAAATTGTTAGATTACATATGGAAAGTTGTGGTATGAAGGACAATACCTGCTACTTCATTATGTTTATGTTGATCTTGAAATACAATGAGCTCACATGATTTAATTGCATAAAAACTCATTTTTTTAAATTTTTTATTTATTTTTATTATTTTTTTATTGGAAAGGCGGATATACAGAGAGGAGAGACAGAGAGGAAGATCTTCCGTCCGATGATTCACTCCCCAAGTGAGCGCAATGGGCCGATACTATGCCGATCCGAAGCCAGGAGCCCCCCTCCGGGTCTCCCACGCGGGTGCAGGGTCCCAAAGCTTTGGGCCGTCCTCCACTGCCTTCCCAGGCCACAGGCAGGGAGCTGGAAGGGAAGCGGGGCTGCCGGGATTAGAACCGGCGCCCATATGGGATCCCGGGCGTGCAAGGCGAGGACCTTTAACCACTTGCGCCACCGCGCCGGGCCCATAAAAACTCATTTTAAAAATCAGTGTACACAGCTGATGTTCATATATATGACTTCATAAAAAAGTTGTTCATGCACAGGAAGCTAAGTAGCTCTCACTGCAGATAGGGTAAAGTATTCTAACTCATCTCTAAGAATAATAAAATTTTTTGTAAAAACTTTATCTGCTTGTGGAAAAGTGATGGAACATGCTGATGGGACCATCTGCGGTCTTACCACAGGGCTTTTTTTGTTCCACAGGACATGTGGCCTGTACCCTAATTCTGGCTGGTTTTTGGAACACACAAGACCATCCATCCTATGTTGCTGTGTAAGGCATGTTGGGTATGTTACCTATTTCAGAAAACCCATTAGTGATGGGAGACAAAATGTCCCTATCTGCCCAACCCACAACTCAGGATTTATCATCTAATGATCTGAATTTTGTGCTTCATGATCCTCCCCTTCCAAAGCAGAGAAACATAACAGGTTATCTAGTGGGACATGGGAAGCAAACAGCAGCAGTGAGGCAGGTGGCTCAAAACTGATGTAGCCTTCACACAAGGCATAACACAACAGGAGTCAGAAAAGGGAAGGGTGAGCAAAAAGAAAACAGAGAAAGGCAAGCCTTTGGCCTCATGGATAAGATGCCCACCTCCCATACGGCAGCACCTGAACTGGAGTGTCAATTCTGCTTTGGATTCCAGATTCCTGCCAATGTGCCTGAGATCGCTTCTCGGCTTTTGGCTAAGATCAAGTGTGACGTACACCTGGGAAGGCAGCAGATGACGGCTCCAGCACTGAGTCCTCAGCACCCAATTGGGTGATCTGGATTGAGCTCCCAGCTCCGGGCTCTGGGACCTGCTCCACCCTAGCTCTCACAGGCATCTGAAGAAGAAATTAGCAAATGGGAGCTCTGTCTGTCTGCCTCTGTATGTGTACGTCAAACAAATATTTAAAGAAGGAAAAGTCAGAAAATTCTGGTACCCATTTTCTAGCACCAGCAAAGCACTCGAACATTTACCATTCTCCATGCTCTACAACAACGGAAGTCATGTAATCCAGATTTACTGCCACCTGCAAGTGACAACCTCATGCTAGGCTCTGACGGACCCCAACAGGACTAGTGCAACAAGGGAAGGAAAGATGGTCAGGTGCTGTGAGGAGATCATCTGCTTTTGCCTATCGCTGTGAAAATACCTGCACTGTTCACTGGAGTGCCTAAAACTACTGAACAGAAATGACAGGATCTGCGAAAGCAGCCCTATCTTCATCACTCTGAACGGGACAGAGGTCAGAAAAAGAGGGCGCTTTTCCCTCTTTTTTATTTGAACAGCAGAGAGAGAGTGAGAACAGAAAACACACTGAGATCTTGCATCACAGCTGCCCTATGCCCCAAATGCCCACAGTAGTTAGGGATGAAGCCAGGAACCTGGAGCTCCCTCGGAGTCTCCTTTGTGGGTGGTAGGGACCCAAGTGCTTGAGACATCACTTGCTGCTGCCCAGGAGGTAGGATGCTAGATCAGAGGCAGGAGAGCTTGGACTCAAACCAGATACTCTGACACGGGATGCAGATGTTCCAAGCAGTGTTTCAACCATTGTGCCAAATGTCTTTCCTAGAGAGAATGCCTCCATCATCATTTTAGCCCCGGCAACATCCCAGCACTGTGCCCCACATTTGATAAGCAGCTGCAAATATGCATGGAATGGAATCTTCTCTAGCCTTGTGTCTGTCTTGTTCTTTTGAGTATTTCTTTGCCCATCTCAGCCCCTGTTTCTTGCCTTAGCTTACACTTCCTCTGTCTCTGCGGCTTAACTGCTAATTTAGACAATATGAAATAACATTACATTGTATTTATTGGAAAAGAATTTTAGGTTCAATTTTTTAATTGGAAAAGTAAATGTTAGGAACATTATCTTCTTTCCTCTAAAATACTTTATAAATCAAATTATGTGTTAGCTGACTTCAAAAGTTCCAGAACCCTCAACGAAATATGTGCTACTTTCTGGTATATTAAAACTTGATTTTAAAAAAGTTTACTTCTGCCATATTCTTATTTCTTTTTGCTCTTAAATAAAGCCAAGCCATTTCCATAGTTGCCTATAAAAACTTAATACAGAAGTATCTTGGTTTCTATACAAGTATACTTTAAAGAGAGAAGACTAATACCCAATGGGGAAAAGTTACTTACTTTTCATAGTTCCATTTTCTTCCTCCTCATCCTCACTGTTTATAACCATGGTGCCCAGGTCCGACTCCAGCATCGTGCTGTTGTGCTCAATCATGGTCTGGGCCCCCTCACTCATGGTGCTCGTGGCCCGCATTGTGCCCACGCTTTCTGAGCTGGTCTTTACCATGGTGTGCGAATCCAGCTCATCTTCATCCTGCATGCAAAATCTCAATGTTAAGGAAGTCTATTCAAAGATGGATGGATTCTTAACAATAATTTCAGCTTATTATACTTTTTATAATGCCAAAATTATCACTATTTCTACTGATATAAGAGCTCACTTACAAATGTTATCATAAGAGAAAATACCCACTGTGCCAGAAGCCCAGCCCAGCCCAGCATGCGGTTCTGTGGCATTTAGTATACTCACAATGCTGTACAACCATGTCTATCATGCATTTCCAGAACTTTTCCATTATCCCAAACACAACTTTGTATTCACTACAAAAGATCCCTTCATTTTCCCCTTTCTCGAGCCTTTGGTAACCTCTATTTGCTTTTGTGTCATTATAAATTTTCCTCATCTAGCTACTTCACATAAGTGGAATCATAGAATATATGTTCTTTTGTGTATGGCTTACTTGACTTGGTATAATACTTCCAGATTCAACCACGTCGTAGCACATGTTGGAATTTTACTGCTTTTCAATGCAAAATAAATTCCTATTTTTTTCAACCCAATTTCCTTTTCCCATATAGCCGACGGACTTTTGGGCTTATCCCTTTTGGCCAGTAGGTTTAATGGTGGGATAAATACTCATGTAGTGAACTGATTGTGTCTATGCTTTCAGTTGTTTTGGGTGTATGTGTAGAAGTGCAATGGTTACACAGTAAGATAACTCCATGTTTGCTTTTTTGAGGATCCATCAAACTACCTTTCATATTTGCTGTACTATTCTGCATTCCCACAAACAATGCAGAGGGATTCAATTTCCCACATCCTTACCAACATTTATTAGTTTCATTTTTTTTAAAGTAAATAGTCACGCTAATAGGTAGGAAGTGCTATCTTACTGCAACTTGATTTGCATTTATTTCCCTACTACTGACGATGAGCCATACTTTTGCATGTTTACTGGCCATTTATATAACTCCTTTGGAGAAAAGTCTACTCAAATCCTTTACCTACTTTTGAAATGAGCTATTTATTTGTTGTTGTTGTTACTATTGCTGTAGAGTTGATAAACATTTTATTACACAATTTTTTGTTACTCCCTTATGAAATACATGATTTACAAATACTTTCAGCCATTGTGTAGGGTGTGTTTTCTCTCAATGTAGTGTTCCATGTTGTACAAAAATTTTTAACCTTAGTTAAAGTCTGATTTACCTGCTTTCTTTTCTTTTGTTGCTTTACACACACACACACACACACACACACACACACACACACCATAATAGGACCATCAAAGTAAACTCAAAATCTTATTTGAGTGACTATGAAATCTGCTTTTAATAAACAATTGTTCATATACTAAATTTCATATGACTCTATTCCACTTTTAGTGAAACACTTACACAAACCCTACTTCTGGCAAAGGTTAAAATATAGGAACATCAATGTGTCTTAGCAACAAAGTAGGTGGCTTCAAGTAACAGGAGCAGGACAGCTTTTTGATACTTCTCTTCCCAAATTCACATGCCAAACTTGGGCACAATATCTCCAAGTCTCTCCCTCTATGGGAAGACCTCTTCATTCTCATGCTTTCAACTATCTCCTATTTTGAAACCAACCAAATCCAAAAATACTCTTGTATCTCTACTTAGTAATTAAACGCTAATGACACCTGAAATTCAACATAAATCAGAGGTTACTCCATCCACTTCTCCAGTTCTGTCTCTACTCCCAACAATGACTACCTTAAAGTACAGCAATTATGCTTCCAACGAGTAACACCTAAGTGTTTTCCTGTGTTTCACGCTCTATGCAAGGTCTTCAAAAGACAATTCTCTTTGAGCCCCATCTCTTCTTTTCCATCCCCTTTGCTACTAGATACACCCCATGCATCATAGCTGGGTCAGGGTAGGTAATGCCTTCTGACTCCCCTTTAATCTTCTTGAATCAGTCAGATATTTGTTAGATGCTTGTGGTCACATACTAACAATATGACCTTTAATCAAGCCATCCAAACCCTTTAAACTTTAATTTCTCCCCTGGATGTCCTTTGATTAAATGAGAAAAGGCAGGGAAAATTGGTGCCTGCTACCTGTATCAGAGCAGCTTCACACCTTCAAAGTGCACAACAATATACCAAGCTTTCTTGAATACTATTTAAACCACATTAATTTATACGGAATCTATCCTGGCTCCAGTTCTTGCCTATATTGCCTGGATTTTAATGTCTTCTGTGTACTTCTCTCATTCCACTGGGCCAATCCTGTTTTCCCATTATTCATACATCTCCAAGAGCAGCAGACTGACAACTTAACTCACTTCTCTTCTCATAGGGGTTATGATTGATAGGATACTAAACTCACTAAGATTTCCTTATTGATCATGGTTTTTTTTCCTACCCAGTATATCCTTGTTCTCTGGCCATCTGACTAGTCTCAGAGCCAGTATTTATTATCTCCAGGCTAATTCAGCCTTTATTAATTGCCCTTATTCCCAAACTTCTACAGAATTTACAACCTGAATTACACTTTTGCATTCAAAGTTACGAACGCATAATAATTTGTTAATGAATCTAAATACTTTTTGAACAAAAATTACTTCTGAATCCACAAAGTGCTTCAAGTAGAACTCAAAACACAATTATACTCAACATAATACTTGCTTACAGACTTATACAATTATGAACCTTTATAGCTGGAAAGGAACTCATCCAACTTCCTTACAGGTATGGATTCCAAATTTTTTGTTGTGTACCAAAAAAATTTAAATTCTATCTTCTACATAGGCAGTGAGACTGGAGCCAGCAGTGAGGATGCAGACTTTGACACTGCATCTCACATCACAGTGCCCAAGCCGGAGCTCCCACATGGCTCCTCATTCCAGCTTCCTGCTAGTGCTGGCCCTGGGAGAGAGCAGGGATGGATCTGCTCCCCACGCGTGAGATTTGCATTGAGTTCCCAACTTCCGTCCTTGGTCCCAGCACACCAGTGCTGGCCATTGCAGGCATTTTAGGGAGGGGATCAGAGAATCAGAGCTCGCTCTCTCTTTCTGCTTCTCAAATAATAATAACAACAATATGATAAGGAGAAAGGAAAGCTGGAACTAAGAAATAGGATCTTCAAGAGAAGGAAAGACAGAGATATCCTCCATGCACCGGTTTATCCCTCAAAATGGCTGCAATGGTCAGAACTGAACCATTTAAAGTCAAGAGCTTCTTCTGGGTCTCCCTCATGGGTGCAGAAGCTCAAGGATTTGAGCCATCCTCTAATTCTTTCTCAGGGCACAACCAGGGGCTAGTTTGAGAGTGGAGCAGCCAGGACATGAACTGAACCCCAAATTGGATGCAGGCACTACAGGTAGGATTAGCTTGCTGGTCTCGAGGTCTTTAGTTTCTTCGCCAGGTGTACTACTACATATATTACACTTAAATTTTACATAGTTACCTCCAAATTTTTATCTACTTGAATGCTTAAAAGGTGTAGACTTGTAATTTTAACAGCTTAATCATCATTTCCTAGTCTCAAAGAGCCCTATACATATTATTCATTTCCTCCTACTCCAAGCTACCAGCCTCTCTCCCCTGGACTATGAATATGAAAACAGTCCCCTAACTACTGTCACAGCTTCCTGCCTTACCCCTTTTAGTCTTACATGACAACAGGCCAACTGAGCTTCTCCAAAGAGAAATCACATTGTTATTCTTTTCTTGCAAACTCTGCAATTGGCCTTGCATCACACTTAGAATAAAACCCACAATCCTTTAGCACAGCCAAATGCAGCTGCCAATCCCATCTCCTGTCCCATCCCTTCTTACTCAACCAGCTCCAGCCACGGTGGATTCCTTTGCTATTTCTTCAGCATGCTACACATGTCTCTCTTGCAATCTTGAAACAGACTGATCTCTCAGGCTGGAATGTTCTTCCACAAGACAACTTGAGCTATTTTTTTCACTCAGGTCTCCACTTAGATGTCACCTCCTCAGTGCAGCTTCTTCTGACTGCCAGTCTAAAATGAAGCCTCCATCTTTCTCTGTTATCTTATCCTATATTCTTCATACTCAGTACCTGACCTTTTCTACTGCTAGAACATTCTAAATAAGACAAGACTTCTTTTTTTCCCCCCAGTACAAAAATACCTAGCATACAGTAGGCACTGGATGAATAAATACTGACTGAACCAACTGATAGTTCTACCTGCTAATTTACTCAATTAGCATTTATTTTGGTTTTGCAATGCATCAAGTATTCAGAGGACAAGGCATCAGATATGAAACTGAGCAAGATCTGGTTTTCTTGCACTTTCTTTCTAAAGGAGCTTGATGTCTAAGGGAAATCTATTCACATGTGAACAATAAATTACTAGGCAATCTGTTAAGTGCTATAAGGAAACTGTTGACAGTATGATGGGAAGACTAAGAATAGAGCCTGTAGCTCTTTCCTGCATGGGTGAAGGAGGCCTCACAGAAGAGGCTGTCCTTGAGGGAAGTCTTGAAGGATGAGTGTTCGGTAGCAGTGACACGCACGCATTCATGCGGATGGGGTGTTTTATGTTATGGCTTCTATTTTGCATCAGACACATCCCATCTCGCATGGACTCCATGTTTGAGTTAGGTGGCATAACTTTGGGTTACCACAGCCTTATGTCATCAGATGTTTGTACACAACTGTGTAACTGCAGAGCTGGCTAATGAAACTGCTCCCACACCATTGGACTCTCAAACTTCTAAAAGTAGCAGCCAGATTTTGTTAACAGATAGAGTTTTTATCAAAAAGACTATTTTCAAAGTCAGAATTACAGAGACAGAGGGGGAGAGAGATCTTCCATCTGCCAGAACATTTCCCAGAGGACCGAAATGACCAGGGAAGAGTGAGACTGAACCCAGCAGCTTCATCCAGATAGCCCACATGGGTAGCCAGGACACAACTATTTATTCTGCTGCTCTCCACGGGCCATTATCAAGGAGCTGGATCAGAAGTGGAAGCTGGAACAGGAACTGGCACCCGTGTGGTCTGCTGGGACTGTGCACAATGGCTTCATCT